AAACCGCAATGTGTCATCTGTTCTGAAGTTCTCTCAGCGGAATCATTGAAGCCTAATAAGCTGAAACGCCATTTAGAAAATAAACATCCAAGCCTTGCCAGCAAGGATGTCAATTTTTTTAGAAGCAAGGCTGATGTGCTTACGAAATCCAGATTTGACACTGGTGGCATGTTCTACAAACAAAACGAAGCAGCTACTGAAGCCTCGTATGTGATTGCACAGAGAGTTGCCAGAGCGATGAAACCTCACATCATTGCTGAGGAACTAGTTTTGCCAGGGGCCAAAGATCTTGTTCGAATTATGATTGGACCTGAATTTGTTAAGAAATTGCATCCTGTTGCCTTATCTAATGACACGGTCCGTAGAAGGATAAATGATATGTCTGCAGATATTCTTCATCAGGTCATTCAAGAAATAAAATCTGCTCCACTTCCCATAGTTAGCATCCAGCTTGATGAATCTACAGACGTTTCAAACTGTTCACAGTTACTGGTGTTTGTGAGGTATATTCATGATGGTGGCTTTAAAGATGAATTTCTTTTCTGCAAACCCCTTGAGACAACAACCACTGCACGTGACATATTTGATACAGTTGATTCATTCCTGAAGGAACATCAGATCTCCTGGAAAATGGTTTGCGGTGTTTGCACAGATGGTGCTCCAGCAATGTTAGGATGCCGATCTGGTTTTCAACGCTTGGTACAGGATGAGTCACCAAAAGTCATTGGAACTCATTGCATGATTCATAGGCAAATACTAGCAACAAAGACGCTGCCACAAGAGTTTCAGGAAGTCATGAAATGTGTAATAAGTTGTGTCAATTTTGTGAAGGGAAGTGGTTTAAATTGCAGACTATTTTCACAACTGTGCAGTGAGATGGATGCACCCAGCAATGTCCTCCTGTTTCACACGGAAGTGAGATGGCTGTCCAGAGGAAAAGTTTTACAACGAGTTTATGAGCTTCGGGATGAACTCAAAGTGTTCTTTAACCAAAAAGCAAAACCACAGTTTGAAGCACTTTTCAGCGATCACAGTGAACTGCAAAAAATAGCTTACTTGGTTGATATTTTTGCCATCTTGAATGAATTAAATTTATCACTGCAAGGACCAAATGCTACAAGCCTTGATTTGTCAGAAAAGATCAAAACATTCCAACAGAAACTTCAGTTTTGGGGGAAAAAATTGTATGAAAATAAAATTTATATGCTGCCTACATTATGTGCTTTCTTTGAGGAAAATGATGTTGAACCAGAGGAAAGGATTACAATTATACCTTCTGTGAATGAACATTTGGTGAGAAAGAAGCAAGCACAACCTTCGCACTGATGTTGGCCTTATAATGCGTCCTGCTGGAAAATGTAGCAATGTGGTTTCCTGTTGTTATATTACTAGGTTATAATGTGAGTTGTATGTATGTTAAATCTGTTTACTGTTATATTGAGACTGTTACCCATGCTATGACATGCTTCAAATCTAAATTTCATTTATTTGTAATTAGAAATAAATATTTCACAATATATAATTACATATTGTTTTTGTGATTAATCACTATGGTTTATGTTCTTTGTAACAATGAAAATACACCCACATAACCGAAATTTATATTGCGATTCTTAACAGTAGCAAATTAAGAGTTACAAAGTAGCAACACATATAATTTTATGGTTGGGGGGTCACCACAACATGAGGAACTGTATTAAGGGGTCACAGCATTAGAAAGGTTGAGAACCACTGATCTAGACCAAATTTGGCACAAATACTCCATATGCCCAAATACAAACATAGATGGAGTTTGGGGAAAATAGACCCTGACATTTGGGAGTTGTAGTAATTGGGATTTATAGTTCACCTACAATCAAAGAGCATTCTGAACCTGCCCCCCCCCCCAAATGAACTTCCCACACAGAACCCCCATGACCAACAGAAAATACTGTTTACTGGTGGTTTTTGGCGACCCTTCTGACATCCCTCTAGGATCCTGACCCCCACGTTGAGAAATGTTGCCTTAAAGCCATCCAGTCCGACTCCCTTCAGCAGGGCAAGAAAACAATAAAAAAACCCTCCTGACAAAGAGCTATCCAGCCATAGATATAGAGATGATTCACACACACATATATATATATATGTGTGTGTGTGAGACAAATATAATATCATAGATTTTAAAGGACCCTAAAGGGCAATTATATGTTGCATGTTCTAGAGTAGGCAAACCAGACAATCGCACACGGACAGGTCTTGGGCCTGTCTGCACCCAGGCACTATCTTGATTTCCCCACAACAAAGTCCAGACTTAAAGTTTGAAGGTAACTGGTTGTTCCAAGACAAGTGCCCCAAACTAAGCTCCTTCCCAACTGGAGGAAATTGAGAGACTTCAAGAGCAGCAGTTCTGAATATTCACTCATTGTACTGCAACTGTTTTCCAATTGGCTTTCTTTCCTTAAAAAGCCCTGCCATTGAAAACGGAAAATTAAGAAATAGAGAAAAGGGGAACCACGCAATGACTCCTTCCACACACAAAAAATAAGTTTCCTTTCTTGTTATAAAATAAAATAGAATAACCTTCCCTTAATTAGAGCAGTTCTTCCCATAAATCTTTGTTTATTAGCCAGAACTGGAGAATGCCTAAGCAATGGGACTATTAAGCCTCCCAGAACACATCCCGACCCTCTCGCCCTATGAGCCAGTCACGTTGTGAAGCCAGCAGGCTGGAGCAGAGAAGAAAAGAGCGGGGGACTGTACCAACAGAATGGAAAAAAGGGGGTGTTTGGGGAGCAGGAGTGAGGGAAAGAGCTCTCCTCTCTCCTCCAAAGACTCCCCCGAATAGCCCAGTAGCACCAAGCCACCATGCTCCCCAGTGTTTTAGTCTGAAATCCAAAGATATCATCTAGTTTGACCAAACTGCTCCACCCAATGGGAAAACCCATCAGCCACCTCCCCCCACCGCCTGCTTCCCTTTGGAACCTTCCAAGCCCCAGTTTGCCACGAGGGCAAGGCTTCTGCTGCGGGGTTTCCATGGAGTTTGGCAGGGGCTGCCTGCAGGGATTAACTCTTCCCGCCCCAAAGAAAGAAAGAAAAGCAAACTAGTACAGCAATATCCCAAATCCACAAAAGGGAAGCACCCCAATGCAGAAAATGCCTTCCCTGTTGAAATTGTAAAATTATTTATCCTGTTTCATTGCCTTTTCACGGCCCTAATATTATTTATTTATTTATTTGCTGCATTTGTATACTGCCTTTCTCAGCCAATGGCGACTCAAGGCGGTTCACAGTAGGCAGTGATTTGATGCTATAGGAATTATAAAAATACACTTAAAACAATTACAAAACATTTAAAATGTGATATAAAAAACAATACATCCTGTAAACACAAAATTCTCAGCGTCTCCTTACTAAAATCATTGTCCAATTGCATCAACGGGCGTTCCGTATATTCATTTTCATCTAGTTATGCTCCAGTAGAAAAAGCTTGCTTAACCATTTTGCAGAATGTTAGATGGGAGGGAGCTGATCTTATATCCCTGGGAAGGGTGTTCCATAGCCGAGGGGCCACCACCAAGAAGGCCCTGTCTCGTCCCCACCAAACGCATCTGTGAGGAAGGCAGGATCGAGAGCAGGGCCTCCCCAGACGATCTTAAAGCCCTATGGTTTATAAGGAGAGATACATTCGGATAGGTAAGCAGGCAAAAAACCCAGAAAAACTTCTTTGTACTTCAGATATTAAAGTAAAGGTAAAGGTTTCCCCTTGACATTAAGCCTAGTCGTGTCAGACTCTGCAGGGTGGTGCTCATCTCCATTTCTAAGCCGAAGAGCCGGCTTTGTCCATAGACGCCTCCAAGGTCACGCAGCCAGCATGACTGCATGGAGCACCGTTACCTTCCCGCAGATCTCACATTTGCATGTTTTCGAACTGTTAGATTGGCAGAAGCAGGGGCTATCAGTGGGAGCTCACCCCGCTCCCCGGATTCGAACCGTTAACCTTTTGGTCAGCAAGTTTAGCAGCTCAGCAGTTTAACCCACTGCGCAGATACTATCCAACCATTAAAAAAGAAAAGAAAAAGAAGCAAAAAAAAATCAGACGCAAACACCAAAAACCTGCTTTACCATCAATATTTTTTTCCTTACCCCCTTCATGGATTATGTTTAAAATGAAAATACCAAGAAGTGTAACCGTGAAGGTCTTAAGGGAATACACAGAAACCAGCTATTTTCAATGATTCCAACCATGAGAGCCTTCAACAACACAAACCAGCAAATGCCAACACAAATACACAAAAAAGAAAGAAAAGAAAAACATTCAGAGTCAGTCCCACCGAGGCTCCTTCCACACAGCCATATAACTCAGAATATCAAGGTAGATAATCCCCAATATCTGGTTTGAACTGGGTTATCTGAGTCCACACTCACATAACGTGGGATTTTCTGCCTTGATATTCTAGGATATAGGGCTGTGTGGAAGGGCCCAGAGGCTCCTTCCACAGACATATAACCCAGAATATCAAGGCAGATAATCCACAATATCTACTTTGAACTGGGTTATCTGAGTCCACACTGCCATACAACCCAGTTCAGAGCAAGTAATATAGGATTTTGAATAGCTCTGTGAAAGGGGCCTAGAGGCTCCTTCTGCACTGCCATATAATCCAGATTATCAAAGCAGAAAATCCATAACGTTTGTTTTGAACTGGATTTTATGAGTGTACACTTCTATATAATCCAGCTCAAAGAAGATAATCTAGATTGTATATGGCAGTGTTGAAGGGGCCTCAGTGGCTGAGGGGGAAAAGGAAGGGGCCTGAGGCTGTGAGGAATGGTGGGAGTTGAAGTCCAAAACCCCTGGAGGGCCCAAGTTTGCTCATATCTGCTTTCTTGTATTTGGAAATTTCTCAATCATGATGACAAAAGGCGTCCTGGGCATACTTTCCAAGAACAGGAAGTCGCCCCCACTTCCCTCCCTCCCTCGCTTCCTGCCGGATTCCCTCTCTTCTTCCCGCGCTTTTCTTTTCTTGTCGGAGGGCAACATTTCTGGCCTTCCCCGCCGCCTCCCCTTTAAGCGCAGGACGCCGTTACTAAGGCGGAGGGCAGGGCGCGCAAACTGAATCCGTCCGGCGGCAACAATCGCGGCGAGGCTTGGTTCCGCTGGGACTCTTTCGGCAACATGGCGTTTGCTTGCTTGGTAAGGGCAGAAGGGGGGACAATGGGGGAAGGAGAATCTGGCCCCACTGGCAACAGGGCTTGGAAATGGCAAGGCAGGGTAATGGAGTGGGAGAAGAGCCGGGGGGAGGCCTGACTAAGTCCCTCCCCTTTGCTGCCTGGGAGTTGTAACTTCTCAGGCCCCTTCCACACACACATGATCTGCTTTGAGCTGGAATATATAGCAGTGTGGACTCAGATAACCCAGTTCAAAGCAGATATTGTGGGATTTTCTGCCTTGATATTCTGGATTATATGGCTGTGTGGAAGGGCCCTCACAGAGGAGAAAAAGAGGTCCAAGGGAGAACCAGAGAGTCATTTGGAAAGGAAGAGTTTATTAGTTTGCGAAACATACCTTTCACATGTATTTATATCCCGCATTCTCTATCTCAAAAGAGACTCGGTGCCCTTCCACACAGCCATAAAACCCAGAATTTAAAGGCAGAAAATCCCACATTAAGTGTGGACACAGATAACCCAGTTCAACTATGTGCTATGCTAATAATATAATATATTGTATATACATATAATATTTAGAATTTTTTTGTCGTGTCAGGAGCGACTTGAGAGACTGCAAGTCGCTTCTGGTGTGAGAGAATTGGCCATCTGCAAGGGCCAATTCTCTCACACCAGGGTTGGCTTGACACGCCTTCCTATTGGCACCCTCCATACGTGCCTCTTCAAATTCCACAGCATTGCTGGTCACAACTGACCTCCCGTTAGAGTGCTCAGGGGCCAGGGCTTCTCAGTTCTCGGTGTCTATGCCACAGTTTTTAAGGTTAGCTTTAAGCCCATCTTTAAATCTCTTTTCCTATCCACCAACATTTATTTATTTATTTATATACCGCTTTTCTCAGCCCTCAGGCGACTCAAAGTGGTGAACTACATCAATACAAAACATCACGAGACAAGTATAGGGCAATTAAAAACAATTGTAACATAAATCATTAAACATCCGTATAACAATCATTAGCGCCTCAACAGTAAAATCAGAATCCAGTCTCGTTATCCATTATTCCGTATTCCTATGTTCAATTATACTGTTTAATCAAATGCTTGTTCGAACAGCTCCTCTGAAACCCCAGCAGGAAGGGGGCCAATCTGATATCTGCAGTCAGGGCATTCCACAGCCGAGGGGCCACCACTGAGAAGGCCCTGTCTCTTGTCCCTGCCAAGCGCACCTGTGATGCAGGCGGGACAGAGTGCAGGACCTCTCCAGATGATCTTAGTGTCCTAGCCGGTTCATAGGAGGAGATGCGTTCGGAGAGGTAAGTAGGGCCAGAACCGTTTAGGGCTTTCTGTTTTCTGTTCTTGAATTGGGAGTATAGAAGCTGCTTCAGGCATTCGGACAATGTAGCTAGTCCAGCTGAGTTGATGGAAAAAGGACCATCTCTTCAATGCTGGTGGTCTTTGTTTCTTCCAGCACACTGGCATTTGTCCACCTGCCTTCCCAAGAGATTTGCATGATTTTTCAGAGGCAATGCTGATGGACTTGTTCCAGGAGTTGAGTGTGACTTCTATAGACAGTCCACATTTTGCAGGCATATAACAGGGTTGGGAGGACAATAACTTTATAAATAAACACCTTGGTCTCCCTACGGATGTTCCAATCCTCTAACACTCTCTGCTTCATTAGGAAAAATGCTGCACTCACAGAGCTCAGGCGGTGTTGTATTTCAGTGTCAGTGTTGACGTTTGTGCAGAGGTGGCTGTCAAGGTAGCAGAAATGGTCAAAGTAGATATTGTGGGATTTTATTCAGCTGTGCGGAAGAGGCCTAATCAAAGCATCCAAAACGCAGTCCTCTCCTTTCTCTTTAGTATTAAGTTCAGCTAACTTTTTCTCGTAGTTTTCTTAGCTGACCAACGTGATGTGCAGGCCTCTTTGAAGGCCAGAATAGAAATAAATACTCAGGCCTCTGCCGCACAGCTGTATAAAATCCACACTGAACTGTATTATATGGCAGTGTACACTCAGATAACCCAGGGCCCTTTCACACAGCCATATAGCCCAGAACATCAAGGCAGAAAATCCAAAAATACCTGCTTTGAACTGGGTGATCTGAATCCACACTGCCATATATTCCAGTTCAAAGCAGATATTGTGAATGATCTGCCTTGATATTCTGGGTAATATGGCTGTGTAGAAGGGCCCTCAGTTGGATGTGGCTGGGAATCATGCAAAAACCCATGACCCTTCTACACTGCCATATAAAATCCAGATTATCTGCTTTGAACTGGATTATATGACAGTGTAGAAGGGCCATGAGTTCATGTGCAATTTGTGCAGTTAGTCTCTGCTTACATTTACATGTTTTCGAACTGCTAGGTTGGCAGAAATGGAGCCTAAAAGCGGGAGCTCACCCCGCTCCCTGGATTTGAACCCCCAGTCTTTCAGTCAGCAAGTTCAGCAGCTAGCAGTGTCCCTAGAAGACATAACTAACCTAAAATCAAAATGGTTAGGATGTATTTCATTATAACTAATTTCTGTATGGTAACTGTTACTTTCTGGACTAGATATCAGAAACTTGAGAAACAGCTTTCCAGGAAATAAATGATTGATTAGGAACTCATGTCTCCTATGTAGTCTATATAGCAGTGATATTTCTCTTGCAGGTGTTAAATGTATGTATTATTTAGGTTTTTAAATACTCCCCCCCCCCCCAGTGTTTCATAATCAGTCTGGTTCTGTATATCAGGGCAGAGATAAAACATTATGGAAGGCACAGAACTACTTCTGGAAATATATAAGCATCCCTTCAGTTATTCATGGACTTTAGAATGGGAAACATGCTATTCAAATTAATGCTGATATTCTTCAGACAAATTTTGCATGCTGTATGGAATTTCGCAAAATTCCAAACATACAGCAGCCATATAGATTGTATCTTCCCTAAGAATGGCTTGCATGTAACAGTTGTAAGCATGTGTCTAAAAAGTGTGGCCAGGAAATATTGTATTTTTTCATCTGTGTTGTTTTCTGAAATACCTGATCATCTTCAAAGCCAATTGTAGTTCCAACATCAGTGAAGGCATGGCAGAAAAAGAGACACAGGATGCATCTATGCTATAGAAGTAATGTAGTTTGGCACCACTTTTAACTGCAATTACTCAATGCTTTGGAATCATGGGAGCTGAAGGATAGTTATGCTCAGCAGTGCTCTTTGTTGGCGAAGGCTTTATGTTATACTCTTATTGTGTATTTGTGAAATTTCCTAGCAATTTATTCTGTTAAGGCTCCTATACTCCATAATGACCGTCATTTAAGTTTTTAGCTGACTGCAAATCAGACATTGCCTCCTTATGGGATCAACATGTAAAAGCAGTCGGCTACCAGCTAAAGACTGGAACAAGGTGTCACTTTTCCAATAGTTCACATAGCTGTTGTAATGGAACTCATTGAGTCCAATGATTGAGCTGAAACCTAAAGACAAGATAAAAGTAGCTGTTTTGTAGTTGGCAATCATTATTCTTATGCTACAATAAAACAAATCACAACAATGATTATTCTATTACAGATTTACATATTATCTAGTGCAGCAAAAAAGTAACATAATATGGCTTTTTTTCTTCTGTAGGAAGATCCGACATTGGAGAGGCACTTCAAAGGCCACCGAGATGCAGTAACTAGTGTGGATTTCAGTCTAAATAAAAAACAACTAGGTGAGTTGCATTGTTTTCTTCAGATTTATCTTTAATGGAATATGGTACTAGAAAGTCATTGGTAAACCGTTCTAAAGACACTGTGTTCAAATTTAATTCAGAAATGTAAACTGCATTCTTAAACAGATGGAACATTTTGATCCCTTAGAGCTACAGGCAATCCCCATGTTACGAACAAGATAGGTTCTGTAGGTTTGTTCTTTAATTGAATTTTTCATGTAAGTTGTAACAGGTATATTTTTAAAGTGTAACTTGAGCTATATATAGAGGGAGGGAGAGAGTGAGCACTTTGGATAGCATAGGAAATGGTTAACACCCCTGTGGTGTTTGTTTTGTTGTCTGTGTCCCTGATCAGAAGATTTTACCTCACTTTCGGTCGAATTGGATTTTGAAAAAAAAATGGCTTGTTGTGGAAACAAGGTTTGGTGGTTGTTTATAACTTGGGGACTGCCTTATATATTGTATTGCAGAACAAACTTACAAAGTCAACATTTGTAAGCTGGGGTTGATATAGTCCCAAGTAATCTTTTCTATTGGTGTTGGATTCATTATTTGTAAACAAAGTGTTGTAGTTGAGTCTCCTAGTAGCGTTACAACTGAGGATAGGAGTAGTAGAGGTGGAAAGAGAGGTGCTCAGAGTTTGGATGAGGAGCAACAAAGAAAGAGAATTAGGGAGATATTCCTGTCCCCTACAGACGACTTACTCATTTGAGGGCTTCTCAGAAGGTGAAATGGAGGAGGAAGGAGATGAGAGCAGGGACTGTTTTCGGCTTTGTGTTCTTCCACCTTGTTTACTTGCATACTTGGAACCCTGTGACTTTGGAGCGTTTTGCTCAACCTTTTGTTTATCCCAGATTATATGCCGGTTTAATCTGGATTTTTTGCCAAGTTAAGTTTTTGTCTTGCAAATTGCTTGAAACCTTTTGTTTTGGCCAGGGACACTGAAGTAACTGCCCCTGAGTCCTTTTTGTTGCCTTAATAAACTTTGTTTGGACCTTATTCCTGTGTCTGGCTCTTTAAAGGCGTCTGGATCCCGACAAGGAGTGCTGATACTGCTCCGAACAACTGTTTCATCCCATTCTAGCTCTGGGTGTTTCAGGTATTGTGGAGCACTAGAGTACCAAAGGCTTTAGAAAAGTTTTTGACTAAGATTTCAAAACAGTGGTTGATGGAACAAACTGTAGATACTTGGGAAGACAATTCCAGAACTATGAAGCAAAGAGGAGTAAGGGCAAAGCTGAACTAGTAAGCAAAAAGCCCATTTGTAATTTTAAAGAACAGATTCTCGGAGGCATACTTTATTTTGAGACAATTATTTTGTTGTTGGAACTAAAATCAATATTTTATGTGCTTTCAGTTTTGTGATTAAGGAACAGTTTTCTTCAAAGAGAAAAGTAAAATTTTGAAGCTTGTGACTGATGCTTCTGTTGACAGTATGATCTTCTAGTTTAATTTTGAAGAGATAATGAATGCCTTCTTTTATTCAATCTAGTAAGCGGATCTATGGATTCATGTTTAATGATTTGGAGCATGAAACCTCAGACGAGAGCCTATCGCTTTGTGGGACACAAAGATGCAGTAATGTCTGTTCATTTTTCACCATCTGGTCATCTGATTGCTTCAGGTTCCAGAGACAAAACAGTTCGCTTGTGGGTTCCAAGTGTGTAAGTACCTGCTAGGTTATGTTTGCCATATTGTTCACCTTCTGAGTTGTCCAGGAGTTGGGGGGCAAATGTTTTTGGTGAAAGAAATTCAGTTGTGAAGAAAGAGCTTGTTGATCCTGAAAGCAGAAATTACTTTTCTGTGATTGCAGTAAAGACTGGCTTGTTTTTAATGTTCACATAAGTGCAAAACAAATATGCTTAAAGAGATAAAAGTGCCAAAGTTTTTGCTTCATATGTATGGGTCAGGAACCTTTGTCCTTATGTATTGGCTTACTAGGAGCCTTGTTAATTTTTATAATGCTTCAAGCCTCTGAGTGTAAACAGATTCTGAAAAAGGTTCCTGTTGTAAACCAGTTGTAGACCAGAATTATATGGATTAGCATAAAAGTGCTGCCTTCCTTTGAATCTCCTTTCCTTAAATAAGTTGGCTGGGATTTCTGGAAGTTGAAGTACAAAACACCTGGAGTGCTGAAGTTTTGTCTGCTTTAGAACAGTGGTTCCCAACCTTTGGTCCTCCAGGTGTTCTGGACCTCAGTGCTCAACATTCCTAACAGCTAGTAAACTGACTGGGATTTCTGGGAGTTGAAGTTCAAAACACCTGGAGTGCTGAAGTTTGGCCATGTCTGCTCTAGAGCAGTGGTTCCCAACCTTTGGTCTTCCAGGTGTTTTGGACCTCAGTGCCCAAAATTCCTAACAGCTAGTAAGCTGACTGGGATTTCTGGGAGTTGAAGTTCAAAACACCTGGAGGACCAAGGGTTGGGAACCACTGCACCAGAAGGTCTTTGGGGCAAAAACGTTTTCTGTTTTAGGGAGGAGATGCAGTAGAGCAGTGCCCTTTCTGGCTAATGCAGCCCTCTAGCATTCCTCAACCCCTTCTTCAGCTCTTAACTGACTCTTTTGCTTGCATTTCCATACCCACTTTGCAGTGAAACGTGAAGTCCTTGCACATTCTTTGTCTTGCATCATCAGTTGGAACAAACAGTTTTAACAGGATACTGATTTGACCCTATTACTTCAAACATTCCTTTTTATTGTAAATATTATCTGTGAAGGATACAAATGCAAGCTGTTTGAAAGCCGGTAAATAAAGTGAAGTAGAACAAATTCTTCTTGTACTGTGTTTGGTATGTTCTGTATGACTAAGTCCAACCATTTTTGTAAATGTATATATTAAGAATTAGCAGGGAAATGTGTGTAAGCTTCTAACTATTCAGATTGTGATAAAGTTCTCTTGTGTTTTTTATCCCCCCCCCCCCCCCCCCCCCCCCCCAAATTAAGCAAGGGCGAATCAACTGCGTTCAAAGCTCATACAGGAACAGTCAGAAGTGTTCACTTTTCAAATGATGGTCAATCATTGGTTACGGCTTCAGATGACAAAACAGTTAAAGTATGGTCTGTCCACAGACAAAAATTCTTGTTCTCACTCAGTCAGCATATCAACTGGGTTCGCTGTGCTAAGTAAGTAAAGCTGTTTCATTTTCTGATTGTAACGCATATGACATAAAAGTAGGCTATGACATGATGAAAGCTCCATCATGTTCCTTTTCTTTCTGTTTTGATTATATTAAAAGTTCATCATATATCGAGCAGGTGTACTGAAATGAATGGCAATTAAATTACTTGTGGCTGCCTTTGAGTTCCATTGAATTAAATTGGTGTATTGGGAGCCCCCGGTAGCGCATTGGGTTAAAGCGCTGAGCTGCTGAGCTTGTTGATCAAAAGGTCGCAGGTTCGAATCCGGGGAGCTGGGTGAGCTTCCGCTGCCACCCCAGCTTCTGCCAACCTAGCAGTTCAAAAACATGCAAATGTGAGTAGATTAATAGGTACCGCTCCCGCGGGAAGGTAACCGCACTCCATGCAGTCATGCCAGTCACATGACCTTGGAGGTGTCTGCGGACAGTGCTGTTCTTCGGCTTAGAAATGGAGATGAGCACCACACCCCAGAGTCGGACATGACTGGACTTCATGTCAGAGGAAAACCTTTACCTTTACCTATTTAAATATGCGTGATACTATCTGGGCATTTAATGAGGCTGTGTATACCTGGCTTGTGGCTATGCTCATCCTATATAGGAGAAAGATTTGGACTGGGGCCTGCTAAGTGCATGTAGGCTGCCTCATAGATCTCTTCCTGCACATGAATAGTATGGGGTTGTTTGACTCACTGGATGGAACTGAGGACTGGCCCTGCTGTCTCTCCACATGATGAACCTCACACTGAGGGGGAAAATATCTCAATAGGGCTTTGTGTACAACTGAAGTTTTCAGGCCAATGAAGACCTGAAATGATTATGTAATACTCTATTCATCACTTTACATAACTATCCATATAGTTTAAAATTAGCCGTGTTTCAGCACTTCAGTTATATTTCCAAAAAAGATATGTTGGAAATAAGACCTTGACCAAATTGAAATGGAGATTGGACTGAAAAGAGCATGGAATAAATTTATTTCCGTGAACATGACCCTCTAGTACTTTTCTCTTGTCTAAAGTGAGACAGTCAGCTGAATGAAAATACCATTTTTCTTGTTCACAAAAAAGAGAGTTTTCATTTTCAGAACAAGTAGTCAGCTTATTCAGCAGGGGGTATTGTTATTTCATACTTCTGAAGACATTTAGGCTGAAATCTCTTGTCCCACACACATACATACATTTGCTTTAGGTCTAAATCCCTTTGCAACAGGGCTTACTCCTCAGTAAACATATATAGGATTATAATTATCTCTAATGCCAACAATACTTAGATTTTTGAGCAAATATAATTTGAGGAAATAAAATTCATGAAGGCATATCTGCAAAAGAAGAAAAAGAGCAGGTCTAGAAACTTTCATACAAGATTTGTTTTGCTCCTTTGATTTTTAAAAAAATAGGATATCCTAGGGAACAATATTTTTAACAACATCTATTGGTTATTTTAAATACTTTTTAATAATTGTTGATGTTGTATCTCAAGCTAAAATTCACCTTGCTCTCTCTGACAAACCAGCCAAACTTATGAAGAAAGAAGTTTATTGTAAGGTTCCA